ATTTTATTATTATTATTTATTATACTTTCAAGTTCTAGGGCAGTACATGGTGCCATAACGATGCAGTTTGTTACATAATGTGCTAGCTTGTGCCCATGTTGTCTGTGCTGCACCCATCAACTCCGTTCAGCACCCAACAACTCGTCACTTTACATCAGGTATATACTCCAATGCAATCCCTATATTGGTCTAAAATTCTCTTTTTTTGTTGTGTCTCTGCCAGGCTTTGGTATCAGGATGATGTTGGCCTCATAAAATGAGTTAGGGAGGAGAATGGTAATATTTTGAACAATGAAATAGATGATTTTATAATCTTTGGTTTCTTTAAAAAAATTGGAATTCATCTAAAAAAGGATATATCTGCTATTCTAAAATCTACCACTCGGTGGCAGCATAACCAATTAATTGGCAATATTACTTTAACTCATGATTTTCAAACTCAAATTTACAAAAATCTCAAAATAGAAAAAGAGTTCCTAGAAAAGAAGTGTGGTTATAGCAGACACATTAAATCTATGGCTGATGAATTATTTGAGGTACATCTATCCCAATACCTTGCTAGGTGTTGGTGGGCCAGACATCTCTAAACTGATTTATATTTTCTGTGACCCCATTTCCACTTTCCCTTAAAAAGGTTTTCCTTCAGTGTTTTCCATCTCAATAAATGACATAAGTACCATCTACCTAACTGCTTAAGCTGGAAGCTAAAAGTCACTCCATTGTGGGGTGCAAGGCTTTTTATTGTTGATTCATAGTTGTGTTATATTATGGTAAAAAGAAATGTGGTCTGTATGATATCCACTTCTCAGTATTATCTCACTGGCTTCGTAACCAAATTTTCAAGTTTTTCACATTTACTTAGAGAACATGTACTTAGAGAACATGTACTCTCCACTACATGAAGGATTCTGGTTATATCCATTAAATCAAGCTTGTGAACTGTGTTTTTCAGATCTTCTATATCCTTATTGTATCAGCTTTTTCTGTTTCTGTAGGAAATATGGTAAAGAAAAATTTGCCACTGTAATTGTGGATTTGTTAATTTCTTGCAATTCTATCAATGACATTTTTGCTTTACATGTACTGAAGAGGTATTGTAAATTACATATAGAGTCAGAATTGCTACATCTTTTTGGTACCAAGGTGGAGAAATCCCATCTCTACTAAAAATACAAAGTTAGCCAGGCACGGTGGCACATGCCTGTAATCCCAGCTATGTGGGAGGCTGAAGCAGGAGAATCACTTGAACCTGGGAGGTGGAGGTTGCTGTGAGCCGAGAATGCACCATTGCACTCCAGCCTGGGCAACAAGAGCAAAACTCTGTCTAAAAAAAAAAAAGAAAAAAAAATTCCTTTATCGTTTACTTAAAAAAATCTTAGGCCGGCCGGGCTCAGTGGCTCACGCCTGCAATCCAAGCACTTTTGGAGGCCGAGGCGGGTGATCACCTGAGGGCAGGAGTTCGAGACCAGCCTGATCAACACAGAGAAACCCCATCTTTACTAAAAATACAAAATTAGATGGGCGTTGGTTGGCGCCATTGCCTGCCTAATCCAATTACTCAGGAGGGGCTGGAGACAAGGCAGAACTGCTTGAACCTGGGAGGCCCAGAGGTTGGTGCGATGAGGCCGGATCACGCCATTGCACTCCAGCTCTTGGACGGACAGCGGAGATCCGCCTCAAAAAAAAAAAAAAAAAATGTAGGCCAGCGGCAGTTGGATCCCAGCCACGGGTGGGTTTGGATCACCTGAGGTCAGGGGGGGTTTGAGACCAACTCTGGACCAATGTGGTGAAAATCAATCTCTTTACTTTAAAAATTTACAAAATTAGCATGGGAATGCTGGTCGGGTACAGCCTGTAATCCAGATGCCATTGAGAGGGCTGAGCGCAGGAGATCGGGGGCTTGAACCTGGGGAGCGAGAAAGTCACAGTGAGCTGAGATTGTGCCACTGCACTCAGGCCTGGAACAAGAGTGCAAACTCATCTCAAAAAAAAAAAAAAAACTTTATTCCTAACAACGTTTTTCACCTTTAAGTCTATTTTGTCTGGCATTTCTATTGCTACACTAGCATTCTTTTGGATAATATTTGCCCCCATATATTTTTTTACTCATATACTTTCAGCCTTTCTATGCATTTATGATTTAGCTATGTCTATGGTTAATATAATATAGCCAGATTTGTTTCTAATCTGAGCAGTTCTGATTTTAACTGACAAGTTTAATCTATTTATATATTGAAATTACTGACTTATTTGAACTTATTTCTAAAATTGTATGATTTTTATAATGATTTATAATAGCGTTTAAAAAATTTTTTCCTCCTTGTATACCTTTTATTGGATTGGTCTAGTTTTATTTTTTCCTCTTTCTTTACTGTTATTGAGGTATTTGTAAAAGTGCAGAGCCTTTATATTTATATCTTTTTTTATAATTGCCCTTACATTTTTAATGTGTACATCAGACGTCTAAAGTGAATCAATGTATCTGCTCCATTCCTGAATGATCAAAGGCCTTAGAAAGTTTTACCTCCCATAACCCTCCCTCCTGTCTTGTTCATTACTGTTACCTAGTATTTAGTTTTACCATCTTCTCAATTTAGACATCAATATCATTGTTAATATTGTTTACAATCAGTACTTATTTAGGTATGCTCACATGGTTAGCAATTTTCTCACTTACCATTTCCCCTTACATTATGTTGATTTAAATCCTCCAGTGGGTGAGGCACTGTGGCTTATGCCTATAATCCCAAAACTTTGGGAGGCCAAGGCTGGAGGATAGCTTGAGCCCAGGAGTTTGAGACCAGCCTGGCCAACATAGGGAGACCCCGTCTCTATTAAATTAAAAAAAAAAAAAAAATAGCTGGGCATGGTGGTGCATGCCTGTAGTCTCGGCTACTCAGGAAGCTTAGATGAAAGAATCACTGAAGCCCAGGAGGTCGAGCTGCAGTGAGCCAAGATTGGGCCACTGCACTCCAGCCTGGGCAACAAGACAAGACCTTGTCTCAAAAACAAAGAAACAAACAAAAATCCTTCAGTGACTTCATATGAGAAAGAATAATATCCAAACATTTTACCACAACACTTAGAGTGACCTGGCCCATGCCTGCTTCTCCAATTTCCTCTCATAAACTTAAATACTTATGTTTAACTTTATAGGAAATTACCAAACTGTTCCCTGAAATGGTTATATGGTTTTGCATTCCCATCAGAATATATGAAAGTTCCAGCTATGACCTGGCACAGTGGCTCACGCCTGTAATCTCAGCACTCTGGGAGGCCAAGGTGGGCGGATCATGAGGTCAGGAGATCGAGACCATCCTGGCTAACACGGTGAAGTCCCGTCCCTACTAAAAATACAAAAAAATTAGCTGGGCGTGGTGGTGGGCGCCTGTAGTCCCAGCTACCTGGGAGGCAGAGACAGGAGAGTGGTGTGAACCTGGGAAGCAGAGCTTGCAGTGAGCCCAGATCGTGCCACTGCACTCCAGCCTAGGCGACAAAGCGAGACTCCGTCTCAAAAAAAAGAAAAAAAAAAAGAAAGTTCCAGTTACTCTGCAACCTCACCAGCACCTGACATTGTCTTTTCATTTAATTTAAACTATTTGAATAGGCATGAGGTGGTGTCTCATTGTCATTTTAATTTGTAAACGACTAATGAAGTTGAACATCTCTTCATGTACTTATTTGCCCTCTGTATATCTTTTTTTATAAAGTGTCTGTTCAAATCTTTTGCCCTTTTCTTTACTGGGTTGTTAGCTTTCTCATTATTGAGGTTAGAGAGTATTTTATATATTCAGGTTACAAATATTTTATTAGACATGTTTTGCAAATGTTTCTTTCCAGTATGTGGCTTGTCTTCTCATTTTCTCTATCTTCCAAAGAGCAGAACTTTTTTGCTTCATAAAATCCAGTTTATTAATTTTTCCTTTTCTACCCAGCCTTTTAATCCCATTTCTTCCCATCCTATTCTATCAGTCTTCTTTCTCTGTCTTCAGTTATGCGTAATTCTCCCACTTTGTGCAAAAATCTTCACCTTTCCTCATTGTCACTGGTCTTTTCCCCTTTATTTCCCTGCCAAATATTTGGAATGAATGTCTATAAAAGCCTCCAATTCTTTACTATTTAGTCATTCCTTAAAGTCCTAAAATTTTTGCTTTCATTTATACCACACTACCAAAACTAACCTCTTGACGTCACCAAAAAGCCTCTTACGTGTCCATTCTAATAATATTTTCCAACCCTAATTATCCTCTACTTCTTTTCGGCATTGAAATAGCTGATGAATCCTTTCTTCTAAATTTTTTTTTTAATTAATTTATTTTTTTAGACAGAGTCATGCCCAGGCTGGAGTGCAGTGGCACCATCTCAGCTCACTGCAACCTCCACTGCCCGGGTTCAAGTGATTCTCGTGCCTCAGCCTCCCAAGTAACTGGGACTACAGGCACATACCACCACACCTGGCTAATTTTTGTATTTTTACTACAGACGGGGTTTTGCCAGGTTGGCCAAGCTGGTCTTGAACTCCTGCCCTCAAGTGATCTGCCTGCTTTGGCCTCCCAAAGTCCTGGGATTACAGGCATGAGCCACCATGCCCAGCGCTAAAAATTATTTTTTAACCTCTCATTTTTGACATTCCTCAAAAGCTGATGTAACCCCTATGTTATTTCCTTGGGAATTAATTCAAATATTATTTAATATCATGTAAATAAGAGGTTTTGATCTTTGCTTTATTTTAGAGATTAGGGTCTCATTGTGTTGTCCAGGTTGGTCTTGAACTCTTGGGGTAGCTCGTGATCCTCCTACCTCAACCTCCCCAGTAACTGAGTCTTCAGGTGTGCACCACCAAGCCAGGCTTAAGGGTTTTTTTGGTGAATAAATTTAAGGTTTCGTGTTGTTCTGAAGTCAGACTGAAGTAGCAAATATGAAATAGGTGTTAAATTGCTTACAGGAAATTAGTGCCCTTAAATGAGTTGAATATCACCATTTATTTTTTAAATGACATCATTGTCTTTTTTAAAACCTGAATTCCCAATGAGAGAAATTTCAGCAGAACATATAACTGATTTTTATTATAAACTTTAAATTACTGGAGTCCAAATGAATAAAATTTACTCTCATTTTTTCATTAATTATAACATATGTATTACATATTGGGAAGCAATACAATCCAAGAACAATTTCCTAGGAGAGGGGGTGTAGTTATTAGGATTACAAAGGGTTTTTTCTAATATTTATTAGGTAGAGAAACTGAAATATAGTAAAATAAATTTTTCCCCTACCTAAAGCAAAATTATAAAAAAGACATTTCAGTTTTGATTTTGCCTCATTGGAACCATAATTAGCAATTGGTTTCATCCTTCTCAGGTATCCACATCTACCATCCTTTCCTTCTCATTCACCTTCTCTTTCTTTTTTCCCTTTTTATTTCCTCTAATTAGTAAAATGATCAGAAAATATGACTAAATTAAGGCACTGCGTTTCTCCCAATTCTAGGTCAAAGTAATTACTTCTCGTTATTCCAGCTAGTTCTTCTGCTGGCTTCCCTTTATCTGCTGAAAAGTCTGTTTTCAGATGGACAGCTCCTGCTTTCTTCTTCTTGGGCAGAGCAAAAGACAGCAATGGCTGAGATTTCCTGATTCATTAGTGCCACAAGGTCAGGCTAGGAAAATCTGTGCTCTGGAATCCTCCATGTCTCCATTGTGGGGATATCAGCGCATCTGAGCACATTGAGAGGCAGCAGAATATAGGAGAAAGAGCTTTGGAGCTAAAAAGACCTGAGTTCACATCAATCCTGACTACCACTTAATAGGCACATGACCAGAAAGGCAATAAATTCTTCGAGCATGTCTCCTCATCTGTGAAAGAGAGATAGATGAAAATGTCTATTTTAACAGGAAACATGAGTAAGGAATCTGACACTTAGTACATACTGAGTACAGTTTAGTCTCTTCCTCTACTCTCCCACAATACTTCCTTTAGTTGAGAATGGCTCTTTAAAATGTCATCCCTGGCTGGGCGTGGTTGCTCATGCCTGTAATCCCAGCACTTTGGGAGGCCAAGGCAGGTGGATCCTTTGAGGCCAGGAGTTCAAGACCAGCCTGGCCAACATGGCGAAACTCCAACTCTACTAAAAATAAAAAATTAGCTGAGCAGGGCGGCACACGCCTGTAGTCCCAGCTACTCAGGAGGCTGAGGCCCAAGAATTACACGAACCCAGGCAGTGGAGGTTTCAGTCAGCCAAGATTGGGACACTACACTTTACCCTGGGTGACAGAATGAGACTTCATCTCAAAAAAAAAAAAAAAAAAAAGTCATCCCTTCTTGGTGTACTGATGCAAAGCTAATCCCTTAGCACTTCCCACAGGATACACTGACATGATAGTGAGATAAGGAGATACACTGTCCCTTGAATATATTTGTGTTTTTTTAAAAACTTTTGGGGTAAGAATTTTTGATGTGGCAAGGACAGTGCTAGTCGTGGTTTCTACATTGTGTTATGGAGACTCTAAAAATTCTATGAAGCATCTCAAGAAGTTTCCGAAAGCATATAGTAATGGAAAACACATTTCATTTCTGCCTGCTCTGTGACTTCCAGACCCCACTCTGACAATAGATATATTGGTCATCACCAATTAATTGTACCACTTTTTGTAGAAAGAGCATACAGGTTCCTATGAAGATCATACAGCAAGTGTAAGTCTATAAACAAAGTTCAAGGCACCTTGTTAATTATTTTCTTTTGTCCTTAACTATTATACATGTTATATGAAATAAGTGGAACATTAATATTAATCTGAAACTATTTTGTCAAATTAAGAATGTACATAATCTTGATTTGTTTTGCTTTGAATTTTTTAATTTTTTTTTTTTTTTTTGCGACGGGGTCTCCAACGTTGCCCAGGGCTCAAGCCATTGTCCCGAGTAGCTGAGACTACAGGTGCACACCACCAAACCTGGCATATACATAACCTCAACCCAGCAAGTATAGTTCTGGGAATCTCTCCTAGAATATACTCACATGTGCATACAAATGTCTATCTATCTATATCTATTTATCTATCTATCTATGTAAAAGCATACTTATTACAGCCTGTTTGTACTAACAGAAGACCAGAAATAATTGGTTAAATATCATAGAATATCCATCCCATATAACAAAATACTATAAACCAATTAAATAATAAATAATTTTTAAATAAATAGCAATTATATGCCCAGAACCTTCTTAAGTGCTGAATAAGAATAAAAATAAGTATAAGCCATGGTTCTTGTCCTGAAGGAGTTTACACCCTGGTTAGATAAGAGTCAAAGATACACAGAATATATCTAGCTTTGATGTCTCCTATGTGAGTCACCTTGCTGATTGGTGTTCTTGTAAAAAGATCTCCTGTACCTGGGATCAGCAAACTACAGCCTGTGGGCCAAATCTAACTCCCTGTCTATTTTGTAAATAAATTTTTATTAGAATACAGCCACGCCCATTCATTTACCTATTGTCTATAGCTACTTTCCTGATACAGAGTTGAGTACTTGCAACACACACCACATGGCCTACAAAGCCAAAAATACTAACTGGCCCTTTATAGAAAAATTTTGGCTGGGTGAGGTGGCTCAACCCTGTAACCCCAGCATTTCAGGAGGCCGAGCAGGTGGATCGCATCAGCTCAAGAGTTCAAGACCAGCCTCGGCAACATAGTGAAACTCCATCTCTACTAAAAATACAAAAAACTACCCAGGTATGGTGGTGCACAACTGTAGTCCCAGCTATTCGGGAGACTGAGATGGGAGAATCACCTGAGCCTGGGAAGTCGAGGCTGCAGTGAGCCATGATTGTGTCATTACACTCCAGCCTGGGCAACAGAGTGAGACCCTGTCTCAAAAAAAATAAAATAAAATAAAAGAGAGTTTGCCAAACCTAAGAAACAAGCAAACAAACAACAAACAAACACTTAAGACTCATTTGGAATTAAGCACAGTAGTTTAAAAATATGTCCATATTAACTTGCTATTTTGACAATTGTTATGTACCAGGCACATTTCTTGATATTACATGCTTTGGGGGAAGCTAATGGTTTGGGCTTCGTCATATGTTGGGTTTGATGTATCTGTAGATTTCCAGATAAAGATTAATTTGCTCTTTTAGCAAACATTGATTGAGAACCTAATATGAGCCAGGCACTATTATACACACCGGAGAAGCAGAGGTGAAAAAATATGTAGTGTACTATGAGAGACATATCTTGGCTATAGGATTAATAATAGCCATAAGGTCCACTCAAACACCTTGCAAGGTCCTATGCTGTATAAGCTACACTACAAAAATAATAATAATGACAATGGCAATAATAGTAATATCACTGTAATTATTCAGCCCTTACTCTAAGACAGACATTTTGTATAAATAAGCTCATTAAATACCATTAACAACTCTATAAGGTACACATTCATATCCCCAATTTACAGTTGGGGAAACTGAGTCTTACGTAAGATAAGTGACTTGATAAAAATCTCACAACTAGTAACAAATAGTAATTTGCTTTGAATGTCCATAAATTATTTGATGCTCCTTCCTTTAAAAGGTGGAGATTGGCCAAGCACCATGGTTCACACCTGTAATCCCAGCACTTTGGGAGGCCCAGGCAGGAGGATTGCTTGAGCCCAGGAGTTCAAAACCAGCCTGGGTAACATGGCAAAATCCTGTCTCTACAAAAAATACAAAAAAATTAGTCGGTCACGGCCGGGTGTGGTGGCTCGCGCCTGTAATCCCAGCACTTTGGGAGGCCAAAGAGGGCAGATCACGAGTTCAGGAGATCGAGACCATCCTGGCTAACATGGTGAAACCCCATCGCTACTAAAAATACAAAAAAAAATTAGCCAGGTGTGGTGGCGGGCACCTGAAGTCCCAGCCACTCAGTAGGCTGAGGCAGGAGAATGGCGTGAACCCAGGAGATGGAGGTTGCAGTGAGCCAAGATCGTGCCACTACATTCCAGGCTGGGTGACAGAGTGAGACTCTACCTCAAAAAAAAAAAAAAAAATTAGTCAGGCATGGTGGTGCATGCCTATAGTCCCAGCTACTTGGGAGGCTGAGATAAGAGAATTACCGGAGCGCAGGAGGTGGAGACTGTAGTGAGCTGTGATCACATCACTGCACTCCAGCATGGGCAACGTGGGCAATAGAGTGAGATCCTGTCTCATTAAAAAAAAAAAAAAAAGAAAAAAAAAGGGTGGAGCTTAGTTTTCCTTTCTTTGAATGTGTGCAGTACTTGGCAATTTTCTTCTAACAAAGTACAACGTAAACAAGCATGACTTCTGTGACTAGATCATAAAAAGTGAGAAAGTCTTCTCCTTGTTCTCTGTCAAATCACCTGTGCTGGGGAAAAACAACTGCTATGTGGTAAGAACATTCACGTAGCCCCAAGGAGAGGTCCACATGGCAAGGATCTGAGACCTCTTGCCCACTGCCAGCAATGAACTAAGGCCTTCTACTAACAGCCATGTGAGTAAGCCTTCTGGGAAGTGGATCCTTCAACTCCAGTCAAGCCTTCACATAACTGGAGTCCTGGCCAACATCTTGACTGCAACTTTATGAGAGACTGTGAGCCAGAACCGCCCAGCTAAACTACTGAATTCTTGACGCATACAAATATTTATTATCTCACATTATTATTTGGGGGTAATTTTTTTAATTCAGCAATAGATAGTTAATACAAAGCTGAAAGACACACTCTAGAACAATGGGTCCATAAACTTTTTTTTGAAAAACCAGATAGTAAATATTTTAAGCTTGTGGGCTATATGGTCTCTGTTGGAAGTACTCAACTCTGTCATTGTAGCAGGAAAGCAGCCATAGACAATAGGTAAGCAAATTGGCATGGCTGTGTTCCAATAAAACTTCATTTGCAAAAACAGGCGGCAGGCATGTGAATTGTTGTTTGCCAATCCCTGCTCTAGAGAAACTAATTATAGTAATATTAAGCAATTATTAGAATGGAATAAAGGAAGCTATGGGATTTCTCAGCTTAAGGCTGCAAAGGAAGCCCTTGATTAGGAAAGGGTATGTCCAGTTGGATGCGGTAACTCACACCTGTAATACTAACACTTTGGGAGGCCGGGGTGGGAGGATCACCTGAGGTCAGGAAGTCGAGACCAGCCTGGCCAACATGGCGAAACCTCATCTCTACCAAAAATACAAAAATTAGCCAGACATGGTGGCACACGCCTATGATCCCAGCTGCTCGGGAAGCTGAGGCAGGAGAATTGCTTGAACCTGGGAGGTGGAGGTTGCCGTGAGCTGAGATCACACCACTACATTCCAGCCTGGGCAACAGAGCAAGACTCTGTCTCAAAAAAAAAAAAAAAAAAAAGTCGGGGGTATGTGCACAACATAGTCACAATTCTCTTTTTATCTTTTTCTGTAAGTTTTTACCAAGAGAAGAGAAATAAAATAATTCTCCTTAAGAAATCTGATGAAATGAGGATTGAGCACCAACCAGATAAGAGAATGAGCAAACTGCTTGTATGGTCTTTTTTTTTTTTTGCTAAGCTGCTAAAATCTTTCAGCACCATTGCCAAAGCTGTGTTTTAAACAAGGAAAGCAATTTGGTTAAGGGCGGGAAGAAGATTATTTCCTATTAACACCTGGAAATACAACCAGGAACTAAAAAGCAGTTGCTAACTGTTAGAAAAAATTAAAAAGTGACCCAAACTTTACTTAAGTCTATTTCTTAACATTATGGTCTAAGTGTATCACATCGTCTTTGTGTTCAATCTGTAAATTTACCAAACACATTATTATGGAAAAAACTCGTAACAAATTGGAATTACATGCTGACTAGATATCTGTTAGAAAGAAGCCTGACTGTTTGGACCTTACCATCATAGCCCAGGGTCACTATTTGTAGTGGCAACTTCTCAAACTGCAGATTTGCTATGCAGCAGGCAACCCCAGACCTAATATAATAACAGTGAATATTTATTGAATATTTACTCAACATCAGGCACTGGCTAAGTACATTACATGTATTATTTCACTTAATCTTCCCAATAATCCTATAAGGTCGGTGTTATTATTATCCCCCTTTTACAGATGAGAAAAACTGGGGCTCAGTAAGAAATTTGTCTAAGGCCACTCGACTAATAAGTGGCAGAGTTAGAATTTGAACCCAAGTGGTCTACTCCTGAAGCTCATGGTCTTAACTGGTGCCCTCTGCAAGCCCTGAGAAGACAAGGTTAAGTGTAACATTGTATGATAGCTGTGACCTCACATTTTCTTTCACACAAGATCAATTTAGTTGGGTGAAGATAATTCAAATCCACTAAACAATTGAAAAACACTCTTAAAACACAGTAGCAACAATCATACATTACCGTACAGTGGAGTACAGTATCTAACAGAGGGTTGGTTCCTAAATCAACATGAAAGGAAAAAAAACTAAATATAGGCTAATTATCCCCAAAATTCCTTAAATTGCTCATAAAGTGCACTTCTGTAGACTCAGATTTGTAAGGAAACAACAGATTCACATCTCCCTTCTTATGCTCACTCTAAGATATATCCTCATTTAGGGGGATGGATGAAGATTTATCTTCAAAATTTAAATTCTCTCTCCTCTCTTTTCCTCTCTCTTTCTCATTGACTATATATATAGTTGAATGTAAATAATTTTCAAATAGTACTTATGACTTTACTCTGCTGTAATACAAATCTAGAACAGAATATAAATGAGAAGGCACCCCAAAGTAAAGAATATTAATAAATCCTCTATTATCAAATGCAGCACAGGAATAAGTACTTCAGGGTTATTTTGACACGTCTTTGTCATGGCATATCCACAAAGTCCATTCTTCTAAGCAGACCATCTTAGCCTACCCTGTGCATGAACCTTATCCAGGCAACAGAACCTGTGTCACAAGCAGAGTAAAGTTCTCTTTCCTACTCATTGTCTACAATCAGTACAGCAGTTGATAGGGCTTTTTGAAATGACAGATAAAGCTGTCGGGTTCTGAACTCAAATAGCTGGGACTAAGAAGTTTAGAAGACATCGTTTGGAAAAAGAGAAGTGAAGCAACAAGAGGGCAGAAAAGGACAATTAAGGAGGCTCTGCCAGGGAACTGGTTTCAGAGGAAGAAGGCAAAGAAAAGTGGAAAATGAGAAAAACCTCTCTGCAAAAACCATATGTCCTACATATTCCCTCATTGTATTAAGTCAAGTTCAAGTGCTTGTTCATAAACAGAATCATCATAAGGTTAAAAAAGAAAAAAAGGAGGGGTTGAAACAAGGCCAGGACTAGAGTCAGGCAAGTGAGCACTCACCTGGGGCACTAAATTGAAGAGGGCTCCAAAACACTCAGTAATCAATATAAATAACATTTTAATGCAACAGCTTATAAAATCAAATAGGCAAACTACAACTAGATACCTGCTTTACAAATAAAGTTTTATTGGAACCAGGATCAGGTTTAAGGAGAGGCAACTGGAGAGAGGCTCTTACAAGTGCAGGATAGAATTCTGTCTTTATTTAAAATGTTGATATTTTGTTCATCATGGATTTTTTGCACTAATTTTGATATTTTGTTTGTTTGCTTGTTTTTGGTTTTTGTTTTGAGACAGAGTCTCACTCTGTTGCCCAGGCTGGAGTGCAGTGGCAAGATCATAGTTCACTGCAACCTCAAATTCCTGGGCTCAGGAGATCCTCCTACCTCAGCCTCCTAAGTAGGTGGGATCTTAGGCATGGGGCCACCATGCCTGGCTAATTTTTTGTTTTTTTTGGTGGAGATGGGGGTCTCACTGTGTTGCCCAGGCTGGTCTCAAATTCCTGACCTTAAGCCATCCTCCTGCCTCAGCCTCCCAAAGTGCCTGGAATACAGGTATGAGCCACTGAGCCCACCCTAATTTTGATTATTTTAAAATTAAGGCACCAAAACATTATTTATCTCAACTACTGATAGTAGAAATTTAAAAGTTACTGATGGTAGAAATTAGAGGGAGTTTTTGGCTCCCCATAATTTTCAGCTTCGCTCATGTCTCCGTAGTCCTGCCTGGATTGTCAAAGAGAGAGTGGGGAGGTAGAAAGGCAATTGGCGATTTAAAGATTTATGCAGAGACTTGGAGTCAAAACCTGAAGTAGGAAAGTTGGAGATTCCATTTTATCTTGCTGTATTGCATTCTGTGCCCTGGGCGCCCTCATGCCAGTGAAGGCGGTGCTTTCATTGAGCTCCTTCACTTGCCTTGGCAGCTGCACTCACTTTTATATGCAGGTTCTGGAATGCTGGGAGCTGTATGGCAGCCAACATCTCTCCTCTCCCTTCTCAAACATGACGTTCTCTGTAATTCAGTTACAGACACCTCTTTCCTTAGCCTTCTCACCCAGGGAGCCTGATCAAGGAATCTAAGAACTAAGCCTCATTTGCCTTCTCTGGATATGCAAGAGAATTTGCATATATCTTGTGTCCATTTGCATTCCCCTCACATGGGGCATTTAGAATAAAAACAACATTCATGAATCAAAATGAAGCTAGTTCCATTCTTTCTCTGTCAAAGTATAGAGTAAGTAAAAGGATACTGCAGTGTGAGAAAAGAACCGAAATTATATTTGCCAGGGTTATGTGTAGTTTTAAAAGCAATCCAATTTGGTGGCATTTACCACCATGAAATTGGCGTTTAATATTTATAGGTTTAGCCTTGGAGAACATAATCACTCATGACTGAAACAACCACCCCTTTCCTTACCATTCTTGTAGAAATTTGAGCCAAGAGCCCTTAAAAGCTGAAGCTGTCCTCTTTTCCTCCTCCAGGTTGCCACTTAAAGTGTGGAAAGCCTAAGGGTTCCTGATGACTGATTCCTCCATTTGAGACAAAGTGGCTGAGAAACAGATTTAAAAGTATGAAAAGAAGAAGGAGTATTGCTCCTCATGCCCCCTGAGCCCCTTTGGGAGCTGAAAGAACTAAGGAAAAGAAAAGAGTAGGCTGGTATGAACTCTGCACAGAATTTCCTCTAAAAAAACCAGCCAGTGGACAGTGGACTACCAGTCTCAAAAGGATATGACAAAAACTGATATTGTAAATAACAAGGGCAAGTTCATTATAGAGTTGTTTTTAAAAAATAGAACTGATAGGTAAGACTATGTCAGTATGTCTCCAGCCCTGTTCAAGCAAAATGGTACCTGACCAGAGGATATGAACATTGCAATCTGTGTGACAGGGAGATAGTACAGTGAAGAAGGATTACTCAGCCGGGTGCCGTGGCTAACGCCTGTAATCCCAGCACTTTAGGAGGCCGAGGTGGGTGGATCACCTGAGGTCAGGAGTTCAAGACTAGCCTGGCCAACATAGTGAAACCCTGTCTCTACTAAAAATACAAAAATTAGCCGGGCGCGGTGGCCGGCGCCTGTAATCCCAGCTACTCAGGAGGCTGAGGCAGGAGAATGACTTGAGCCTGGGAGGCGGAGGTTGCAGTGAGCCTAGATGGCGCCACTGTACTCCAGCCTGGGTGACAGAGACTCCGTCTCAAAAGAAAAAGAAAAAAGAAGAAGGATGACTCAATCCTTCACACCTTGAAAAAAGTCCTTTCAGTGCATTTAACCTCCTTATTTAAAAATATCTGGTTATTAGATAACTTACTTACTTTTTTTTTTTTTTTTTCCTGAGACGGAGTCTCCCTCTGTTGCCCAGGCTGGAGTCCAGTGGTGCTATCACTGCTCACTGCAAGCTCCGCCTCCAGGGTTCTCGCCATTCTCCTGCCTCAGCCTCCCGAGTAGCTGGGACTACAGGCGCCCACCACCACGCCCAGCTAATTTTTTTGCATTTTTAGTAGAGACGGGGTTTCACCGTGTTAGCCAAGATGGTCTCGATCTCCTGACCTCGTGATCCACCCGCCTCAGCCTCCCAAAGTGCTGGGATTACAGGCGTGAGCCACTGCGCCCAGCCTTAGACAACTTTCTTGTTACTGGGTAATTGGTAACCAAGAAAGCAGTGCACTGGACAGTGGATTTCCATTTTCAAATAAGCTTATACCTGCTACTGTGATTTAATGAAGTGGCATCCTGGTTTCTGATGAAAAGTTTTATAAATTTGATTAGTATAAACCAACGCCCAATTCAACTCTTGATTGAATTGACAAAAATCAGGCCCCTAAGCCTGTTACTGAGCCTTATCATCTCTTCCTTTAAAATGCTACATGCATCTAGAGAAATATTATGACAAGCATGCAGAGATATATGAACAGGGAGGCTGCTTAATCATTGTTGTAATAGTCAAAAAAGAAAGAAGTCTTGGAAGTTATCTAAATGTCCATTAGTAGGAGATGAGGTAAATATATTATGGGAAACTTATACCATGTAAAACTCTAACACTATTAAAAATAATAATATAGATTAGTATTTGATAATATAGAAAATAATTTCTAAGATACATTATTAAATAAATAATGTACATCAGAACAAATAGTATGATTCAACTTAGGTAAAACTAAATATATATTCATGTGTGTATGACATTTGTTTATGATCTACGTTTTGTGGAACAATAGCAGTATCAATATTAGTAGTTGCCTATTTAGAGTGGGATTGAAAAAGTACTGGGGGAAAGGGGACTTGTACTTTATAAAGTACTTCTGTAACACTTTAAATGTTTACAATGGCCACGTGGTTCCTTTTATAATGAGTATTAACTTGTAGTAACATATAGTAACTGACGTAATTAATACACTATTATTTATATGAATTTACTAGTTGATATGTATACATATACACACACACACATAAAGTGAGTGCAAGAGTAAGCACTAATTGGGCCAGGTGTGATGGCTCATTCCTGTAATCCCAGCGCTTTGGGAGGCTGAGATGGGAGAATTGCTTGAGGCCAGGAGTTCAAGACCAGCCTGGGCAACATAGCAAGACTCCATCTCTATTTAAAAAGAAAAGAGCACTAATGTATGTGAAAGAAAATATGCAAAAGACAGACTGTGAGATGAAGAGGGGGAATAAGTTCCAGTGACACTATCCAGCCCCTTGCTCAAGGCAAAACTAAGACAAATTACCCCTAAATTTTTCCACCACGTTAGTTAATAAGTTTCCATTGGTACTTAAGCTATTGTAAGTTAGATTTTCTGTCACATGCAACAAAAGAATCCTAAACGATTTGGGTCAGTTATTAAGGATTCCATGTGGCAAGGTTAGAAATTAGGGCTTTATCCTATGAGATGCCACTTGTTTAAAAGTTAACAAAAAAGCAACGTTTTAAAGCAGATATAAGGTATAATAAAAGTTATTTGGTGAATATCATACTTTTTATTATCAAGCGAGCAAATTACCACCAAGAGTAATTTGTTTGGACAGGATAGCATAACAAGAGTAGAAATAAGATTAAGTCCCAAACTTGCTGGGCTCTGGAACTCGAATACTTGCCCTCCATGTCATTCTATTGTAACTAGATCTTAGTGCTTCTCAAATGTTCAGTCCTATCTTTTACTTAGCCCACATTTGATAGAGAAATTATTAGGCTTTGAGCAATTGAATTTATTTTGTATTTTTTATTTTTTTGAGACAGAGTTTCACTCTTGTCACCCAGGCTGGAGTGCAATGGCGCAATCTCAGTTCACTGTAACCTCTGCCTCCTGGGTTCAAGTGATTCTCCTGCCTCAGCCTCCCAAGTGGCTGGGATTATAGGTGCCCGCCACCACACCTGGCTAATTTTGTATTTTTAGTAGAGATGCGGTTTCACCATGCTGCCAGGCTAGTCTGAGACTCCTGACCTCAGATATTCCACCCATCTTGGCTTCCCAAAGTGTTGTGATTACAGATGTGAGCCACTGTGCCCGGCCTGGGAGCAATTGAACATCTTAGAGTATGGTTTATCTTCATATTTTCAAGATAATATGGGTTTTCAATGAATATGGTAGTGATAATTTTTAACAGTCAATTTTAACAGTCAATTAAATGTAACAGTCAATTAAATGTAACAGAAAATATAATGCCATATGAATGTTGCATATATAGCCACTAGGTGTGAAACTCATATTTTCAATGTATAGTAACAATCATGTGATAGCAATAATTACTGATTTGTGAAAAAAGTTTAAAAGGAAAAATTAAGAAAGTTGGATATTACTCATGGTTCTTTAATAGTTTTGTATGATTGAGGTTGGGCGTCGTGGCTCACGCCTGTAATCCTAGCACTCTGAGAGGCCGAGGAGGATCACCTGAGGTCAAGAGTTCGAGACCAGCCTGGCCAACATGGTGAAACCCCATCTCTACTAAAAATACAAAATTAGCCAGGCATAGTGGTGCACGCCTATATTCACAGCTACTCAGGAGGCTGAGGCAGGAGAATCGCTTGAACCTGGGAGGCGGAGGTTGCAGTAAGCCGAGATCATGCCATTGCACTCCAGCCTGGGCAACAAGAGCGAAACTCAATCTCAAAAAAAAAAAAAAAAATTGTATGATTGAATAAATCACTTTCCTTTTCTAACTCAATTTCCCTACTTAAAAAATGGGAAAATAGGCCGGGCATGGTGGCTTATGCCTGTAATCCCAGCACTTTGGGAGGCTGAGGTGGGTGGATCATGGGGTCAGGAGATCGAGACCATCCTAGACAACATGGTGAACCCTGTCTCTACTAAAAATACAAAAATGAGCCGAATGTGGTGGTACGCGCCTGTAGTCCCAGCTACTCAGGAGGCTGAGGGAGGAGAATCACTTGAACCTGGGAGGCGGAGGTTGCAGTAAGCCAAGATTGCGCCACTGCACTCCAGCCTGGGTGACACAGCGAGACTTGGTCTCAAAATAAAAAATAACAATAAAATAAAATAAAATAAAATAAAGGAAAATAATAATACTGCACTCATACTCCTGATACAAGGAGATTTAAACATGGCTTTGACCATCTTCATCTATATTTATCAGGCACTTGAAGAACATCAGGGAAAGCTATTCTAGGAATAGAATAATAATAATCAAAGGTAAAATTTATTGACTACCTACTATATTCTGGGTACTATTCTAAATGTTTTATGTGTATTTAATCATGTATGCCTTACAACAACCCTATGAAATAAATCTAATTATCATCCCCACGTTACTGAGGCTCAGAAAATTTGTGATTCTTGCCCAAAAGCCAGAGCTAGCCATGATTTGAACCCAGGCATCTATAATGTCTCTGCACTTAGCTAATCGTATGGTAAATAATCTAGAGTAAAATAATAAACATGAAGAAAAAACTCTGAGGAGTCAAAAGAGATGTCAAAAGTTTTAAAATGTTTTTCATTTTGCCATAAGGGATTCTCTTGGGCTAAAGAACTATTGACTTTTTATTTTAGGCACAATTTTAACAAGTGTGTCAATGGTTTTCAAATCCATGGGAGATGATAAGGACAAATAAAAATGCTGATATCGAAGAGAAAACTTAAGAAGGAAGGGACAGCAAATTGAAAACACTGACAAAAATGCCAAAACACACAGTAAGTATGGGCCTCTTTAAGATAATGCAAACACACTTACCTACTACAATAGCCAATGAGGATATCACTGTGGTACAGCATAAATAACTGCCACTCCCAATAACTACCCTGAAGTCATCTATTAGAAGTAAATGATGTATTTTAAAAGTCAACACTCTGTTTAAGAGAGGGTCAAGGTCCAGAGGGTGAGGTCCCTCTCCCAGAGAAAGATTCCAATTAAAATAAACCTGAGGATCCTAGAAAGGATTCTAACCCAGCAAATGGGAAGTTCAGAACTCCCAAGGGAGATAAACATCTTCTCAGATAATTTTTTACTGTCTTGTTGGACAAGATCAATTAAGAGGACATGAGTTAAGAGGAACCCAGCCTCACACATTGTATAAAAATAAGGACTGAAATAATCCTGGTCCTTTTTTTTTTTTTAGAGATGGGGTCTTGCTATGTTGTCCAGGCTTGTCTCAAACTCCTGGGCTCAAGCCATCCCCTCAAAATGCTGGGATTGCAGGTATAAGCCACCGTGCCCAGTCAATACTGGTTCTTTAAGTTAGAGAAAACTTCTCTCTTCTGCTAGGAAGATAATATTGGCTGCCTTGAGAGGAAAAAGATGCTTCTTTGTTTTAATCCAACGTAGATGTAAGAACAAAATCTGATAAAGGTATCGTAACTAAATAAAAGCTACTGAGAAATCTTACTTAAGAATAATGATGCAAAATAGTAACTAAAATACTAGCAAACAAAATTCAGTGACATCTTAAGAGAATTAAACACCAGACCATGTGAGATCAGGAATGCAAGGATAGTTCAACATTAGGAAACTTATTGTGATAATCACATTAACAATCAAAAGAGAAAAAGTATATTACCATCTCTTTTGAGTGATTTATTGATTCATTCATCCCGACAATTATTTATTAAGCACCTACTATGTGCCAGGTGCTATACTAGATGCTTGGGATATGGCAGTGAGACAAAATTGAAAAAGTCTCTGCCCTCAAAAGCTTACATTTTCATCAAGACAGCTATACAACAAATGATTACACAAATAATAACATCTGGTAGTATAAGTGCTATGAAGAAAATAAAGCAGGCTAAAAGAGAATAATGGGAAGGATGCTATTTAATATAGGTAACTAGGGAAGGCCTCTCTGTTAAGATTATACTTGAGCAAGATCTAAAGGAGGTAAGAAGGTTAGCCAAGGGAATATCTGGGTAAAATCATTCCAAGTAGAGAGAAAAGCAAATGCAAAGACCCAGAAGTGGGAGAGTGCTTAGCATTCTCCTAAGGTCACTGAAATGGCTGGAGTAGAGTAAGCAAATTGGAGACCAGAAGAACACAAGATCAGAGAGGTGGAGGGCAGAGCAAACAAATCATGTATGACCTGGAGGCCACAGAAAGGACATTGGCTTTTATTCTGATTGCGACCTATTATCACTAGAAGGTTTTGAATAGAAGCATGACATGATCTGGGCTCTGTAATAAAAAGACTGTTCTGACTGCTAGGTTGAGAATAGACTCCACGGGCAAAGGTAGAAGCAAGTGACAAGATACTGCAGCAGTACATGTAAGAAATGATGGTGGCTGGCATCAGGATGGAGTAGTGAACGTGGTGAGAGGTGGTTACATTCTAAATATGTAATGAATTCTATTATACTATGAAGCTGCTGATATACATGAAAATATTTAATCTGTATCAATTCAGTTTCTCCAGAGAAAGATCCTCTTATCTCCTCTCTAGAGATAGCAACAGTCTGGCTGCTAGCTTTCTGAAGCTGGGTCAGGAAACATGCATAACATTCTGCTTAGAGTTCAGACATTTATGTTTTTATATCATATCCTTGTTTTCATACCCATTCCTTAGAGCCTGATATACCCAAGTCCAGATCCTTTCTACTTCAATTTCTCCAGAGAAGACACCTTCTGTCTCCTGTATGGGGAAAGAGAGGAAAGTGTCTATTTGGGGTGGGAGTAGGAGTAAGGATCTGGGTTCTATCTGATCCTTATATAGACCTTTAAATAATCCAGCCCCTTCCCTCCTTGCACATATACGTCATCTGCTGTGGCTTTCTGAGGTTCCATAAGACAAATTAGTGTGCTTCTTGCTGGTGTTCTCTTCCTCTGCAGTACCTAGGTTTGAACTTCTCTGCCTTGCTAAGTCATTTTTCATTTCTCCATCCACTTTTAGCCTTCATATGTACTATGCCTTGGGGTTAAAGATATTTCCTAATGTCATTGAACATGGAGTTTGTGTTTTTATTTCTTGTCTTCCTCATACAAATACCTTTAAACATGTTAAAATATGCCTAATTATCACTCAAATTAGAAAACAGCATGCTACAACTTTAATAAGATGCTACTTTCCACCAACAGATTAGCAAACATCATTTACAAGGTTATTGGCAAGCTTCAGTTGCTTGCTGGCTGTTGGCTGGAAAACTCAGTCGTCTGCCATGAAAACCTTTCCATAGGCAAGTTGCCTGAGTATCCCCAAGACTAGGAGGCTGACTTCCCTCAGAACGAGAGAAGAGAGAGCTCAAGACAAAAGTTGTAGTGTTTCTTAAAACAGCTTTTTAAAGATATAATTCATACACCATACAATTCATTTATTTTCAGTGTACAATCCAATGGCTTTAGTATATTTAGTTTTGCATCCACCACCACAATGTTAGAACATTTTCATTACTTCCAAAAGAAACCCCATACCCAGCCATCACCCCAAACTGTATCTCAACCCTAGAGCCCTAGGGAACTACCAATCTACTTTCTGTCTCTCTGTATTTGTCTATTCTGGACATCACATGTAAATGGAATTATACAATATCTGGTCTTTTGTGACTGACTTATTTTATATAGTATGTTTTTAAGGGCTAACCATTTTGTAGCATGTGTATTTCATTTATTTTTATTAGGTGCTCTCTTTTTTTCAGTCTTCTAGTGAAATTTGTTTTTATTTCTACTTATATATTCAGTTTTTTTTTTTTTGAGATGGAGTTTTGCTCTTGTCACCCACACTAGAGTGCAGTGGCACAATCTCGGCTCACTGCAACCTTCGCCTCCCGGATTCAAGTGATTCTCCTGCCTCAGCCTCCCAGGTAGCTGGGATTACAGGTGCCTGCCACCACGCCTGGCTAATTTTTTGTATTTTTAGTAGAGATGGGGTTTTGCCATGTTGGGCAAGCTGGTCTCAAACTCATGACCTCAGGTAATCCACCCACCTTGGCCTCCCAAAGTGCTGGGATTACAGGTGTGAGCCACCATGCCCGGCCCAGATATTTCTTTCTCTCACTTTTCTAGATCCAAGAAAGTCCTGGACCCTCTTGGCTCAGGCTCTAGGTTAATACTCCCTAGCTTCAGAAACAGTTCCCTTTAGAACTAGCTGAGGTTCTAGGTTGGTCTGTGATTCCTGGGTCCTTGCAGTCTTTTACAACCTGATCTTGCAAGTGACATACCACTACTACTGCCATGTTCTGTTGGTGATAGAGGTGGGAGACAACTACACGAGGGTGCATAGGAATCGTTGGGGGCCACGATGGAAGCTGCTACTGTAATGAGGATGTGGTCATGTTGCAATCCATGTTAGAAGTAAAGGCTTAAGCTCTGGCTTTGACCCGTCTTATAGATCACCACTTACAGAATAACAAAAACAAACAAAAACTCACAAACACACACTGCATGATATAAAAGAAGAGTCCCCACTTAGAGGGAGCTTTGGCAGGAGTCAGTTTTGCTTCAGCAGCACCTGATGTCTCTTAATGAATATACAAGTGAATATCCACCTTTATAGGAAGGAGGAAATGGGGTTTAACAACCTGCCTGTAAAAGAGAACATTGAAAGAAACCAATGGCTGACAGCAACTTGACTAATTACAGAGTTAGTTATATAAATAAAGTTGAAAAATACTCACCTGGCATAAATGTATTCACCTGGTGAATGATTACTTCCAAGAATAGCTATAGTACCATACAGGAGAAAGTAACTACAGCTTACTTATGGTTTGTTCATAGATATTCACTCAGTATTTTTGTCAGTCAACAAATATTAATAGTCCAGAAGGGACTTTTGGACTCAATTAATATTCTCCAGTGCCCCTTTGGGGTATGACACTATACTTAACAATACAATACAATACAATACAATACAATACAATACAATAAAAAAACAGAAACATAATACAAAACAATACAATAAAAAAACAGAAACATAAAACCAACACACAGTCGCTTCCTTCAAAAATCTTTCATTCAAAATCAGGAAAAAATAGACAAATTACAAAATGGTATTTGTTTTTAAGGAAAATAAACACCAGTAGTGATAAAAGTTCATCTTAAAAATAAACATATTGCTATTTGTCTTGAATCTCTTTTTCCATCTCCATGTATTTTTATTGATGAAATTGTTTATATACAAAATGGCCTTTTCAAGTAAAAAACATACTTTAGGGTACAATGTAGCAGCACCATCTGTTTGGGCTTATTTTTCCTATTAATGTGTGTGGGTCAATTCAGCAGATAACAGTGATGAGTATTTGGGGTTTTGAAATTTCACTGACAGATTAATTTGTGTTGCATCATGTAACCATGTCAAAAGAGGGTAAGTTGAATCTCTTTGGAATATATGGTTAAAATATAGTGGAATGCAGGCCCAGGCACAGTGGTTCACGCCTGTAATTCTAGCACTCTGGGAGGTGAGGTAGGCAGATCACTTGAGGCCAGGAATTCAAGACCAGCCTGGCCAATATGGCGAAAATCCATCTCTACTAAAAATAAAAAATTTAGCTGGGCATGGCGGCACATGCCTGTAATCCCAGCTACTTGGGAGGCTGAAGCACGAGAATTGCATGAACCTGGGAGGGGGAGGCTGAAGTGAGCCATGATTGTGCCATTGCACTTCAGCCTATCAGCCCTAGGAAACTACCAATCTACTTTCTGTCTCTCTCTCTATATATATCAAAATACGCAAAGATATCTTTACTAAACTTGGTTTAGTGGAAACATTCTAGATCATCAGATTGAAGGAAGCTTTATTTTAAAAAGTTTTGCAGATAGGTATATAAGCTCAAGACCAGATTAATTTGTGATAGTATAGAATAGTAAAGAATCTAATTTTACATATTTCCATTTTGTAGACTATTAATAAATTTTACAGTGTGTACAATTTGGAAGATCAACTATTTGCAAGATCAACTTAAAAGCAGCATTCAAACAATCCAGTTAGCAGCTTCCAGCCCATCTCAGTTTTTACATCCCAGGCAGAAACTATCACACAAATAAATGGTTTTCACTCAAGGGAATTCCCAGGAACAGTAATGTCAAATCAAGCTGTAAGCTCTTAATATATAAAGGAAGAGGAAATTTACTTTAAGTAAGGATGACTCTTTCTTCCACTATATAAAAAATAGACAATACCATTTTACCCCCACTAGATTAGCAAAAATTAAGAAGTATAATAATACCAAGCATTAAAGAGTACATAGAATTCTTATACACTATGAGAGAGAAAAAACTATTTGGCATTAATTATCTTACAAGGTTGAATATTTGCATACTCTACAATGCAGCAACCCTACTCCTAGGTGGAAACACTTGCATGTTACCATGAGGCCTGTATACTATTTAGAGCAGCAGTGTTTAGAATAATAATTTTCAAAAGCCTGGAAACAATCCCTCCCCAAGTATGTATCAACAGAAGAATAAATTGCAGTATATTCACACAATAGAATGTTAAATAGTGTTGAAAATGAAAGAACTATCATTGTATAGAATAATGTGGATGAATCTTTGAAATGAATTCCAGGAAACTATACATTGGATGATAGCATTTTTATAAAGCTCAATAGCATGCAAATTAAACAACATGTTGTTTTAGCATTTTTGCGATGAAACTAAATTTTAAAAAGAAAACTGCAAAGGAATAATAAACATAAAATTTAGGATACTAGTTTTCCATGATGGCAGAGGGGAAGAGTACAGGAGAAACACAAAGAAGATACACATTACTAGGAAATGTCCTAATTCTTGGAGTGGGTAGAGGTTCATGAGTATTCATTATGTTATTAAGTGTTATATTTAATATGTGTGTTGCGTATATCTTTTGTATATATTAAAAAGTAAATTTTGGGCTGGGCATGGTGGCTCATGCCTGTAATCCCAGCACTTTGGGAGGCCGAGACAGGTGGATCACCTGAGGTCAGGAGTTCAAGACCAGCCTGGCCAACGTAGTAAAACCCTGTCTCTACTAAAAATACAAAAAATTAGCGGGCATGATGGTGAGTTCCTGTAGTCCCAGCTACTCAGGAGGCTGAGGCAGGAGAATCACTTGAACCCAGGAGGCGGAGGTTGCAGTGAGTCGAGATCGCACCATTGCACTCCAGCCTGGGTGTTGTGGTGAGACTCAAAAAAAAAAAAAAAGCAAAATTTTAAGATATTGGTCAAATTCATCCTCACCTCCTCTAGGTGAAAAATAAGAAAGCTGATTTTTACTCCGCATGTAAAGAAATTAAGGGTGGCATGGCTCTATCCTTGAATAGGAATGAAATAGAGAGTATTTTTTTTTTTAATTATACTTTAAGTTCTAGGGTACATGTGCACAACGTGCAGGCTTGTTACATATGTAGGAATAAAGTGTTTTGTTTGTTTGTTTGTTTTTGAGACGGAGTCTCGCTCTGTCGCCCAGGCTGGAGTGCAGTGATGGATCTCAGCTCACTGCAAGCTCTGCCTTCTGGGTTTACGCCATTCTCCTGCCTTAGCCTCCCGAGTAGCTGGGAATACAGAAGCCTGTCACCTCGACCGGCTAGTTTTTTGTATTTTTTAGTAGAGACAGGGTTTCACTGTGTTAGCCAGGATGGTCTGGATCTCCTGACCTCGTGATCTGCCCGTCTCGGCCTCCCAAAATAGAGTATTTTTAAGGGACTAATCATTCAGCTGGAGCCAAGAGAATGTAAGTGAAATTAAATCCACGTGAAGTAAATGGGATTTTTTTCCTCCCTAACATGCTAATGGAAAGTGCAGTAAACTGAACCTTTTACCTGCCAGTAAGGAAATAAATTGGGATGATGCAGAATGGAATCTCGGCATCACTAGGTGAAGTTAAGATTTCCAGAGATAAAAGGAGCAGGAGAGCTGGGGCACAGTGGCTCATACCTGTAATCCCAGCACTTTAGGGGGCCGAGGCGGGTGGATCACCTGAGGTCAGGAGTTCAAGACCAGCCTGGCCAACATGTGAAATCCTGTCTCTATTAAAAATACAAAAAATTGCCAGGCGTGGTAGTGGGCACTTGTAATCCCAGCTACTCGGGAGGCTGAGGCAGGAGAATTGCTTGAACCCGGGAAGCGGAGGTTGCAGTGAGCCGAAATTGAGCCACTGCACTCCAGCCTGGGCAACAAGAGCAAAACTCCGTCTCAAATTAAAAAATATAATGATACAAATTTTTTTAAAGGAGCAGGAAATTTTTTAGAAAAACTGGAGTCCAAATAGAATACCTAGGAGAAAATGAGGGAAAACACACAAAGGCTAAATGGATTAATTCATTTATTCAACAAATCTGTTTTTAGCACAGACTCTGCGCCAGGGAGAGGGAAAGGGACTGGAGTCATCAAGATAATTAAGTCACAGTCCCTACACTCAAGGAACTCACACTGTAGTAATCAGGAGGCCCAAAACTGAGAAAAGGGAAGAATACTTGGAGGTTTTCAAGAACAATGCAGTTGGTGAGGAAGAGGACAGTTTTAATCTTAGGCCAGAGGATAGTAATATATGGGAGCCTAGACACCACAGTGTCTTAGTGCTTTATCCTCTGTGAGCCTGCAATACAAGAGGGGGCGAGGAGGGAGAGAGAACACTTGTGCTTGGCTTGGACCTGGAGAGAAGGACAGAAAAAAGCCATGCTGCAGGCAGTGGGAGTTCACATTTATTGAGTTCTTACTATATGTCAGATACTCTTCTAAATGCATCTTATGAAT